TGGTGATCATTACTGATACCGGATCATTCGGTGGTAAAGCTGGGACTCAAACCTACAGAGGTGACCCCAAAGCCAATGCTCTTGGCCCCGGGGATGTGTCTCCCAGTGACAAGGCAATACCGACAGGGCATGTGCAGGGGAAGCCACTTGAGAGGCCATGGAGCTCATGGCTGGGGCTCCATGGCTTCCAACTGCCACCTCCATTCTCAGGTGCTGTGGGCTGTGCCCACCTGCCACATCTGGGCCAGTCCCCCTACTGGGGGACAGTAACTATCAACCTGCCTGTCTGTGAGGGAAACCAGGTTAGACTAGTTCTTCAGGACCTAAAGGTGTCAGTTCCTTTACTCACTGCCTGATTTGGTCTCTGGGATAGCACCCTCCCCGTTCCTGGAGGTTCACTGAACTTGCATGCCGACATGAGATCAGCAAGCACAGGGCTCCCCCCACCCCTGCCCTGGGCAGGGCCCTGTCTGCATCATCCTCCCACAACCCCGCATGTGCCCTCATCACTCTAGGAGGGCTCATTTGTTACCACAGGCCTTTGGGGTTGAGGGCTCAGGACCGTGGGAGTCTGAGCGTGGGTGGACAGGGCCTACGTGTAGCACCTTCTCACATTGTGCCCTCATGTTCTGCTCAACTAGGATGGGGTGTTTGCTGGCGAAAAGAAATTCCTTCACACAGGCCTTGCCTAAGTGACCAGTGAACACTGCAAGGTGCTTTCTGGCAACAACAGAGGCACAGGAAGCCTGAGAGGGCAAGTGTGGGGTGCAGTGAGGCAGAGGTGGAGAGCAGACATGGGGTACAGGCAGAGGGCACAGGAAGCTTGAGGGGGCAAGTGTGCGGTACAGGTGCGGGGTGGGGCAGACATGGAGAGAAGACGTGGGGCACAGGTAGAGGTTCAGATTTGGGGTGCAGATGTGTGGTGCAGGTGGGGGGACAGGTAGGGGCTGGCCTAGAGTGCAGTGGGGGGAGGAGGTAGGGGCAGGCCTGAGGTATACACAGTGGTAGGACGGCCTCCTGGGGGGTGAACCTCAGTGCCCACTAGTCAGGAACTGAGTCTCAGTCATGTAATCTGTCTTGGGCTCAGGCTCATCCTTTACAGAAAAACAGAAATAAAAACTGTTTTTGGCCGGGTGCAGTGGCTCACACCTGTAATCCCAGCACTCTGGGAGGCCAAGGTGGGTGGATTGCCTGAGCTCACAGGTTTGAGACCAGCCTGAGCCAGAGCAAGACTTCATCTCTAAAAATAGCCGGGTGTTGTGGTGGGTACCTGTTGTCCCAGCTACTTAGGAGGCTGAAGCAAGAGAATCGCTTGAGCCCTAGAGTTTGAGATTGCTGTGAGCTATGATGCCACGACACTCTACCGAGGGTGACATAGCAAGACTCTGTCTCCAAAATAAATAAATAAAAAGGCCATGTGTGGTGCACTTTGGGATGCTGTGGTGGTCGGATTACCTGAGCGCACAGGTTCAAGACCAGCCTGAGCTAGAGCAAGACCTCATCTCTAAAAATAGCTGGGCGTTGTGGCAGGCACCTGTAGTCCTCAGCTGCTCAGGAGGGAATCACTTAAGCCCAAGAGTATGAGGTTGCTGTGAGCTATGATGCCAAGGTACTCTACTGGGGGCAACAAAGACTCTGTCTCTAAAAAATAAATAAATAAAATAAAAATAAAAACTATGTTTTCATCAGTTCTATGAACTTTGACAGGGCTTTTTTTTTGTTTTGAAACAAGAAGGGTCTTTTTTTTTTTTGAGACAGAGCCTCAAGCTGTCACCCTGGGTAGAGTGCTGTGGCATCATAGCTCACAGCAACCTCCAACTTCTGGGCTTATGCCATTCTCTTGCCTCAGCCTCCCAAATAGCCGGGACTATAGGCACCTGCCACAATGCCCAGCTATTTTTTTTTGGTTGCAGTTGTCATTATTGTTTGGCAGGCCTGGGCTGGATTCGAACCTGCCAGCTCAGGTGTATGTGGCTGGCACCTTAGCTGCTTGAGCCACAGGCACTGAACCAACTTTGACAGTTTTAACAGCTCTGAAGTTGGGACGTGTTTCTCCAGTGCTGGCCTGGAGGTCATCTGGTGTCTGCTGAAGTTTTACTCCTCATCCTCTGCCTAAATCTGCACCTCCATGCTTGCCTCAGACATCTCTTCATGATTGTTGGCCCTTGAGCTTCCTATTTTGTGGACAGCTGGGTAGGCATATTCTTCGCCTAATATTGTTGGGCTGTTTCCTTTTCTACATAGAATTTCTTTCTTTTTTTTATTTTAATTTTTTTATTTTAATTTTTAATTTATTTTTCTTACACATACATGTGTATATTAGGTTTCCACTTTTGCCTTCACAGAATTAAAAGGCTAAATTTAATGACAATAATAATATTTAACATAAGGACTGAGAACAAAAACCTCATAAAGAACGAAATAAGATAAATACATTCAGAAAAGAAATCAGACGATTGCTGCAACAAAATATTAGGCAATAATAATAGAAATAATGCAAAAAAAGTAACATTCCCATTGTCAGATAAAAGTATGTCTATTATAGAATACTTTGATCAGTTAACTTCTTCTTATTTTGTTTTTTCTAAAGTCTCAAAAAAAACAGACAACTAATATTTATAAGTAAAAGATAATTTCAAAAAAACAGATCATACCAAATCTTATAGACAATAGAAAAATACTTCAAAATCATTCTACTTAATCTGGATACACCTGATATTAAAATTGGAGAAAATATATTATTATAAAAGGGAAATTATGAACATATTTCACTTATAAATGAGGATGCAATATAAACAACATATTAATATGTTGAATTAAAAATTAACATTTAAGTAATGTACTTTGTCAAAATTAAATACAATTTATATGAGAATTAGTCACTATTTTCTTATCTTTTTTTCCCCTTTTTTTGAATACATAATCATTTACTACTTGTTTGTTACAGAATACACAAGACAAAATACAAATAGCAAACAAAATTTTTTTCCTTATGTTTTTACCAAAGTCTAAAAAAAAGACGACCAATATGTACAAATAAAAGTAAAAAATAATTTCTAAAAAAAAAAACCAGATCACACCAAGTCTTATAGACAGTAGAAATAGAAATACTTCAAAATCATTCTACTTAGTCTGGATACCTTGATAGTAAAATTAGAAAAAATATATTATTATAAAGGGGAAATTATAGACATATTTCACTGATGAATAAGGATGCAATATGATAAAAAACATATTGACATGCTGGATTAAAAATTGATGTTTTTAGTAATATATGCTAATCAAAATTAAATACAGTTTGTGTGATAATTAGACATTATTATTTATATGTATATATTTTGAGACAGTCTCACTCTATCGCTCTGAGTAGAATGCTGTGCTGGCCTCAAACTCTTGGGCTCAAGAGATCCTCTTGCCTTAGCCTCTGGGTAGCTGGGACTAAAGGTGCCCACCACAATGCCTGGCTAGGTTTTTTTTTGGTAAATCTCTTTTTAGTCTGCCACAACACCTGGCTATTTTTAGAGATGAGGTCTTGCTCTAGCTCAGGCAGGTCTTGAACCTGTGAGCTCAGGTGATCCACCCACCTTGGCCTCTGAGAGTGCTAGGATTACAGGCATGAGCCACTATGCCTGGCCACTAAATTTTTTATTTAAGCATTAACTAATAGAGCAGCACCTATAGCTCAGTGGATAGGGCACCGGCCACATACACTGAGGCTGGTGGCTTCGAACCCAGCCCTAGCCAGCTAAAATTAACAATGACAGGCTCAGCACCTGTGGCTCAAGTGGCTAAGGCGCCAGCCACATATACCTAAGGTGGTGGGTTCGAATCCAGCCCAGGCCCGCCAAACAATGATAGCTGCAACCAAAAAAATAGCCGGGCATTGTGGTGGGTGCCTGTGGTCCCAGCTACTTGGGGGGCTAAGGCAGGAGACTTGCTTGAGCCCAGGAGTTGGAGGTTGCTGTGAGCTGTGATGCCACAGCACTCTACTCAGGGGGACAGCTTGAGGCTCTGTCTCAAAAAAAAAACACACACACAAAAAAAAACCAATGACAACTGCAACAACAACAACAAACATAGCCAGGGATTGTGGTGGGTGCCTGTAGTCCCAGCTACTTGGGAGGCTGAGGCAGGAGAATCGGTTAAGCCCAAGAGTTTGAGGTTGCTGTGAGCTGTGATGCCATGGCACTCTACTGAGGGTGACATAGTGAGACTCTTTCTCAAACAAATAAATAAATAAATAAACATTTACTAATAAACAGAAAAGTTAAAAGACTTGAAAAGAATGATTTCACCTTGAAAAGCGGGGAGAGGTGAGCACTGTCGTGCTCTTACGTCAGTAACACAGTAACAACCACAGGCAGAAACTCAGGTTAACTTCTCAGAGACATTGTGACCAACATCAACGAAGCCCGAGGGCTCGAAACAAGGGGCCAGCTGTGGGGCAGAAGAGCCCAACTTGTGTTTCTGGCCATGTCGGAGATCTGAGCCACAGGGCAGAGAGCCACTGGGCCAGCAAGGACTATCCACTACAGCCAGGACTCAGCTACAAAAACAGTCTCTTTAACTCAACTATTTACTTTATCTTCTTTTTTTTTTTTTT